CATGAGTAAGGTATCGATACTGTAATAGAAAATAGAATTCCAAAATGCCAAAATGGTATATGTACTGAAGTGGGTATCAGTACCATAGAAGAGAATTATCGGTACTATAAGAGGGGTATCGATATTATTCAGTCTGAAATTTAAAATTAAGAGTTTTTTTTCCGTTATTGTAAATGCTAATTGATTATTCGTTAATAGAAATTCGGTATTGAACTTGGATATATTGATGTGTAGATTTGGATCGAAAGCGTAATGTAACACCCGTAACCCGTATATTTATACCTATACAGATTACGGATGTTACCCGTATTTTCTAAAACTATTTCAAAATTAAAAAGCGATTTAAAATTTATTTTCTTAAAATAGTGAATAATATTATAAAAATACCATATTATATAAATCAGGTTTCGTTGTAACCAATTTAATTCAAAAGATTTATTTTATATGAATAGTGAATAATACCCGTGAACAGTAACATTGAATAGTGGGGGAATCGATTCCCTGTAGCAGGGGAATCGGTACCCCTTTTACAATCTGGAAAATTTGGTTTAAAACGGGGTTACTGTTCATGCTACTTTCGAAAATTTACATATAAAACTCATAAAAATTAACCTTTCATCACTATAAAAATTCCCAAAAATTTACTCAATAATTAAATTAAATATTTCCAAATTACATGCCACTATCTAAAATCAAATTTCACAATAGGATGTCTTACTGATATTGAAATATACCTCTCAATACTTGATGTCGTTCTGAACTCTTTATTCTTATTCTTTGCTTTTTACCTACGCGTGAAAATCATCACACGCTAAGTATAAACTTAGTGAGGCAATTAAAACAATATATATAGTGCAATACAATTCATGCATGAATTTAGATTTCAAATCCAATGCCATAAAACCATGTTAATAGCATCTTCAATATTTTACCATGATCAAAATAATATAAAACTTCTTACCTTTCATCCCATAAGCTCATAAGCTTATTTTTACCAAAATACTTACCATTTAAATTCCATAAGCTCGTAAGCATATTATTATTTTTTTCAATATACTTGCCATTATTCCGTAAGCTCATAAGCTTATTTGCATCGTTACCATTATTAACCAATAAAACATAATCCATAGTCAATAAACCGTAGACAATAGCCCAATATAACACCCTGAGGACCATGGGTATACGAGTAAAATACCTGCACCGTAGTGCTAAACCTGCACTAAGCTTACGCCATAGTGCTAATCCGGACAATACACATAAGGTCGTGCCCACAACCTACACTAAGCTTACGCTATAGTGCTAATCCGGATATAAACCTGCACTTAGTGTCCTTACACACTATAGTGCTAATATAAACCTGCAGCTGCTATACTCTATGGCATGCCAACTATACCCTGTCCCTCAATGACTTACTTGGGCATATAGTCTATTTTATTCAATTCATCCATGGCAAAGTATATTATCAATATTTAACATTGGGCAGTTCATACCCGAAATCATTCATGATAAAATGTCACATTTTTCATAATCAATGCATTTTGATTTCATACCGTGACATTTCAATGTCATGTCAATTTATAAAAACATGGCATAATATCATGCTGATATAAACAAGGTCGACTTATCGCAAGTCTTCCTTATGATGTATAAAACATCCATGTGTAATTTCATGCATGTATTGCACTCACCTTGACACTTTATGTCTTTCAAAATATATGAGCCTCAATATTGTCCACAATATACCCTTTTTATACTTGACTTGCTTCAATTGCAAATCGACCATGATCTGTATAAATCACAAATTTATAATAATACATATGTAAGTATTTTACTAACATAACCATATCCCAAAATAATTCCATAGCATACTTCAAACTCATTTCCACCAAATAATTCAATACTTATTAATTCCTTTAACATTGGAACCCACTTTTCCCATTTACTCAAAATGGTCTTCACCATTTTACCACTTAAATTCTTAAAACCAAAAATTCCAACATTGAAATTATTTCCATTCAAATGCTTTTACAAAAGCATAAATACATTTAAGTACCCCAAACTATGAAATTGTTGTACTTAAATAACCAATCACTTCAATCTTCCCAAAATAATCAATTTTACTTCTAACACTCATTTCAATTCTCAAACAACAATTTCCAGCATAGTACATCAATTATACAACTCTTACACCACAGCCCATTAATTTTCCAGAATTCAGACAACTCGCACTACCCTTAAAGAATCATTATTCTGTATTGATATAGACACTGGATTTCAATTCCATTTCTTGCATTAAAAACTAGACTCGAATACGAATCTATCTATATAAATAAATCCTTCTAATTCATTCTGTACAATTTATGGTGAATTTTCAAAGTTCACCAACAGAATCTGTTTTGTACAGAATTCTGCTGTCTGACTTTTCTGACCTTTCCTCAGTTAAAAATTCATATATATTTGTATACAGCTTGAAATTGATCCCCGTTTGTTTTAAACAAAACTATATCCATATATGAACATAATATATAAAACTAACCTCCAAATTATTTTTATATATTTTATGGTGAATTTTCGAACCCACTGTAATTCCCAAAATCTAAACTGTTTTTCTTTAACTTCATCCTTATGTTCTTCATCAATTCATACAACCTCAAAATCATCAATAATCATCATCAATTTCAAAAACCATTGTATAAACCCAAATTTTCAGATTGGGGAATATTTGAATCAAGCAAGATTATCATACAATATTGGTACCAAATGATAGTGTTTTTCGCAAATAACCATTTTTTATTTTCATCATACTCATAATCCTAAAGAAATTGCTTGAAAAATGAGTTGAAGATCTCTTACCTTTGAAGAAACCCACGCAGCTTTTGAAGGAGAAGATGAACACATTTGGTTGAAATGTCATCTTAATTTACATTTCATTCCACTTTAAATGAATATATTATTCATTTAATTGTGATAAGACCAAAACACCCTTAATGAATATCTAAAATCACCATAAAACCAAGCCATCTGATATTACAAAGTCAAATATAATTTAATTTGACTTTGACCTACGAAAATGCCCTGAAATTTTCAAAACTTGCATTTTAGTCACTAAATTTCACTGTTTCAGTTAAATCTGAAAAATTGCATATTTCCAAACCAAATTTCTCTGATCCAAAATATTAAAATAATATTTCCAACCATCTTATAACATCCTTCAAATTTTCGTAAAATTCAAACTCGATCCAAATTACCGATTCCTTATCGGCTTTAACCCTTTCTAGTTTTTCTTTACTAAAACTCCAAATTCAAAAATATGATTTCTATAAAACTCCACTCTCAATAGTAGACCATCTATTTATGGAATAAAATTCTTTTTAGGAAATTATCACTTAATTCCCTAAATTTGATTCCCAAATTTCTACTTTGACCATCAAACTTTCAAAATTTACATTTTGGTCATCATCTAGATTTTTGGGGTATTACACGTAACGAAAGAGTCGACATAGTAAGAGATTGAATGAAAGAAAAAGAACTTTGTTTAGGACTTACGTGAGGCAAAGGTGAGTGAAATTTATATTTTTATATTAGATATGATGACGGCTTGCGATAAGCCAACCTCGAACGTTTTCGATCAAAAAATGGTTTATTTATTTTATGCAATATTTTTATGATGTTTTATATAAAGTGTATTTTGAAAGTATTGTTTTGATTTTATTGGTATGTGAATATGTTTTCTATGAAAAGGTTCTATGTGAAAATGTGCTAAGTGAAAATGTTCTACGTGAAAATACCCTATGTGAATGTGCTCTACGTGGATAAAACACACTCTAAATAATGAAATGAAAAAATTAATTATAAACCTAAAGCCCAAAGTATATGTATGAGAATTAAAGGTATAGTTGGCATGCCAAGAGTCGAGGGTTCTATGCGATCATTCGGGACAAATTTCTACGTGGTCCTTCGGGACAAATTTCACGCGGTCCGTCGGGACAAATCTATGTGGCACTTCGGTGCATATTCTATGTGGAATTTCGGTGCAAATTATATGAGAAGTGGTGATTCTATTAGTGCACAACCTCAATGTACTCAAATACCTTGAGTTCTTAATAATATGTGTTGGGCTAATAAAACAAATTAATATACATCGAGTAATATGTAACAGTATACATGGTTTTTATAAAGTGTATTGTTTTCGGTATACAAGTGCTTTTAAATGTTTTGTATGCTCATTATTTCCTCACTAATTCAACGACTTAGCGTGTGAGTGTTTTCACACGTAGGTTCAAAGAGATCGGAGTAGCAAAGCTAGTAAATGATAGCATACACCTGAAGAAGATCATATCAGAACAAATTGGACAGTAGGTTTCTTATCATTTTTTAATTTTGTTGGCATGTATCATAGGTTTTTAAATTGTAATGCTCTGATTAGTTTTGTAAAGATACTATTTTAAATTTATATAAATTATCAAGTATTTATTTTCATTGTGAATTATAAAATTTTCAATATTTACTTTGTTATAAGGGTTTCACCATTTAAATACAATTAAAAGTTTAAATTTTCAATGAGTTTTCAAAGAGTCAAAGTTTTTAAAAGAAATGTGACACCTTAGATTCGTATCGGGGTCTGGTACCTGTTAGGGGTGTTACATTTATTGGTATCAGAACTATGATTTAACTGATTTTAAGTTCGAAACGAAGTAAATTGTCATTTTAAAAATGTACCTGCCAAAGAAAGGCTAAAAATTTCTTATATCATTGGGGTAAATTTTATGATGTCCTTCCTAGTAGAGTTAGTAATTATATCTTAATAGATGTCAGACTACGAGGGCTCCCAAAGTGAAGCGGGAGATTGTCATGAGGGAAATAGTAATTCACCTGCCCCAGTTTGGCAAGGTGAAGAGCATGCACCTCAAGGAGTGCCTATGCTAGATTAGGGAGTCTTTTTCAGGACGTTGGATGCGATTCTGACTCGTTTCCAACCTTCTTCTCCCTCAGCTCCTAGGATGAATGTGGAAAAGGAATTTAAGAGCCTAGGAGCACCGAAATTTAGAGAAGAAACTGAGGAAGGTCCCATTGATGTGGATCTTTGGTTAAACGACATTAATATTATGCTTGAGGGTCTCTATTGTTCTGAAATAGAGAAGTTGGATGGAGTAGTCTCATTACTACAAGGACAAGCATGGATATGGTGGACTAACGTGACAATGAGAGCTCCTAGGGACAAAGTAGCATGGTCATTCTTTCTGGAAGAGTTCAAGAACAAGTATATCGATGAACAATTCATCCGCTAAATGAAACAAGAATTCATGAATTTGAAGCAAGGGAATCACATTGTGTATGAGTACGAGTGTGAGTTTAATAAGTTGAGTAGATTTTCAGCTGAATTAGTCACGATGGAAAAAGACTCATGTGATTGGTTAATAGAGGGTTTATGCCCCAGATTGAAAGAGTTATTGTTAGCGTTGAACCTTTCTACTTTTCAAGAGGTGGTAAATCGAGCTAAAGCCTTAGAACGAGCTCAGAATTAAAGATATGGGGAGAAAAAGACTTAGTGGAACAAGAGAAAGGGTACCTCATCGAGTGTATCGCAATCAAAGAAAACTCGAGGTTTGGGTTTTTGACCTCAATCTAGATCTAAATCAGTTGCATCCTCAGGTAGTGGATCAAATCTGATGAAAGTTAAGTAGACCCAATCTACTGAATCAAGAGCTAGAATGCCAAGTCAATGTCAGCATTGTGGCAAACATCATAGTGACATATGTTGAATGGTCTCTGGAGTATGCTTTAGATGTGGTGACACATGACATTTTATCTGGGATTGCCCATTGATGACCAGAGAGCCTGCACAGTTTGAGAGATATGTTACTGTACTTCAGAGAGGTAGAGGGTGAGGCATATGAAGAAATTAATCTAAGTCGACCACTCAACTTGAAATGTGCTCGACTGCTCAGGTCTACAACCTTAAGACTAATGAGATTGCGATGATCCAGAGATCATTGCAGGTACTTTTCAATTAGTTGATAAACCTATTTTGGTTTTTATTGACCCAGGATCAACCTATTTTTATATTAGTAGTAAATTGATGAGAGAATTGAAAATTAAATTAGAAGCTATAAGTAATGATGTGATTGTGACTAACCCATTAGGGCATAGTGCTCGGGTAAATCAATTGTGTCGAGGGTGTCCCATAAGAATTCAGGTAATTAAATTTCATGCTAATATGATGAAATTACCCTTTGACGAGTTTGAAGTTATTATGGGAATGGATTGTTTGTATCGTTACCATGCTAATAGCGATTATCGATTGAAGTGAGTAGTTTTGAGAAGTTCAGATGGATCAGAAGTAATTGTGGTCAGTGAAAGATTTAATTCATTAGCTAATATGATATCAATAATATCGGCTAATAAGATAATATTACAAGGATGTCAAGTTTTCATCGCCAATGTGATTGATACTCGAGTCAAGGAAAGAAGACTGGAAGACATTCTGTCGGTTCGAGAATCTTCAGACGTGCTTCCAGAAGAGTTACCGAGATTACCTATATATAGAGAGGTTGAGTTTCAAATTGAGGTTATGTCGGGAACAAACCAATTTTAATGGCTCCTTACAGAATCCCCCAAAAGGAACTCAGTGAGTTAAAGGCTCAGTTTCAAGAGCTATTAGATAAAGGATTCATCAGACCTAGTGTGTCACCTTGGGGTGCTCTAGTGCTATTTGTAAAGAAGAAAGATGGTTTGATGCGTCTTTGTATTGATTATTGATAACTCAACAAGGTGACTATAAAGAATAAGTATTCTCTTCCAAGAATCGATGATTTATTTGGTCAACTCAAGGGATCTTCAGTGTTCTACAAGATTGATTTACGCTCTGGTTATCATCAGTTGAAGATACAAGAAAATGACATTCCAAAAATGGCTTTTAGGACTCGATATAGTCATTATGAGTTTGTAGTAATGCCATTTGGATTAACCAATGCACTTGCAGTGTTTATGGACCTCATTAATAGGGTATTTCAACCATACCTCAATCGATTTGTTTTTTTCTTCATTAATGACATCTTGGTGTATTTAAAGACAAAAGAGGAGCATGAAACCCATCTTCGAGTGATTCTTCAAACACTACGAGACAATAAGCTTTATGCTAAGTTGTCTAAATGTGAATTTTGGTTACCTAAAGTGGCATTACTTGGACATGTGGTATAAACAGAGGGGATTCGGGTGGATCCTCAGAAGATTAAGGCTATTTTCAATTGGGAAGCTCCAAGAAATGTTTCTGAAATACGTAGTTTCTTGAGTTTGGTTGGATATTATCGGAGATTTGTTAAGGAATTTTCGATAATTTCCACCCCATTGACCATGCTGTTAGGGAAAGATGTGCCCTTCAATTGGATGAATAAATGCCAATATAGTTTTGAATCTTTAAAGAAAGTACTAACGGAAGCTCTGGTGCTAGTACAACCAGAATCGGGCTAGGACTATACAATTTATAGTGACACTTCTCATAATGGTTTAGGATGTGTTCTAATACAAGATGGAAAAGTAATAGCTTACGCTTTGAGATAGCTTAAGCCACATGAGAAGAATTATCTGACTCATGATCTTGAGTTAGCATCGGTGGTGTTTGTATTGAACATATGGCGCCACTATTTTTATGGTGAGCGTTGTTACATTTCACAGATCACAAATGTTTAAGGTACTTGCTGATTTAAAAAACAGATAAACCTAAGACAAAGGAGATGAATCAAGTCACTTAAAGATTATGATGCAATCATAGATTATTACCCTGTGAAGGCTAATGTTGTAGTTGATGCGCTTAGCTAAAAGACTTTTGCAGCTTTACGTATGTTAGATGCCAGACTTGAGTTAAACGACAATGGTGCTCTAATTGCTGAATTAAAGCTAAGACCGCTATTATTAGAGCGAATAAAAGAGTCACAAAGAAGGGATGATAAGTTTTTAACAAGAATAGAACAAGTGGAAAAATGTGAAATCAAAGCTTTGAAGTAAAGTCAAATGGATTCTTATACTACAAAGACCGAATTTGTGTTACTAATGATGAAGAATTAAAAAGGGATATACTTTCTGAAGTTCATTTTAGTCCGTTGACTATGCATCCAAGAGGAACCAAGATGTATCAAGATTTAAAAGGGAGATATTGATGGCCATGCATGAAAAGAACTATTACAGAGTTTGTTGCAAAGTGTCTAGCCTGCCAGCAAGTGAAAGCTGAACATCATGTGCCTTCAGGACTTTTGCAACCGATAGCTATTCCTTAATGGAAATGGGATAGAGTTATGATGGATTTCGTAACGGGTTTATCTTTGACACTGAACAGAAATAATTCAATTTGGGTGATTATCGATAGATTAACAAAGACCGTGCATTTTATTCATGTTCGAACTGATTTTTCAATAGATAAGTATACATAATTATATATTAAGGAGATAGTTTGACTACATGGAGTGCAAGTTTCAATAGTATCTGATAGAGATCCAAGGTTCACTTCGAGGTTTTTGAAGTCTTTACATGGAGCATTGCGTACCCGATTGAAATTTAGCATGGCTTTTCACCCACAGATTGATGGTAAATCGGAACGGACGATTCACTTTCTGGAAGATGTGTTAAGAGCATATGTTATTGATTTCTGTGGATCGTGGGAGAAGTATCTACCGCTCGTAGAATTTGCTTATAACAATAGTTATCAAAATAGTATCAAGATGACGCCCTACAAAGTTTTATATGGAAGGAAATGTTGAACACCATTAAATTGGTTTGAATTAAAAGATCAATACTTAGTAGGGCCAGATCTAATTAAAGAAGTTGAAGATAAACTGAAGATTATTCAAGATAATCTTAAGATAGCTGTTGATCAACAGAAGTCTTAGGCGGATTTGAAGATAAAGGAAATTGAATTCTAAGTAGGTGATAAAGTATTTCTCAAAGTATCACCTTGAATAAGATTCTCAGTTTTGGACCCAAAGGAAAACTCATTCCTAGATTCATTGGACCTTATGAAATCTTAAAAATAGTGGGACCAGTGGCATATCAATTAGCATTGCCACCAGAAATAGAAAACATCCACAATATTTTTCATGTATCAATGCTCAGAAGATATCGATCAGATCATTCGCACATCATTGTACCGGATGAAATAGAAGTTTAATCTTACCTGACCTATGAGGACGAACTGGTACATATTTTAGCATATGAATTCAAACAGCTAAGGAAAAAGACGATTCCATTAGTTAAAGTTCTATGGAGAAATCACAAAGTAGAAGAGGCAACATGGGAACGTGAAGAGGACATGAGAAGACATTTTCCTCATCTCTTTGTATAGTGAAAATTCGAGGACAAATTTCCTTAAGGGGTAGAATTGTAATACCCAAACATCATGTCAATGATTAAAATGTAAGGATTTAAAACTTAGTTGTTAAATTTGATAAATTAAAAAGTTAAAGGACTAATTTTGGAAATTTATGTCTAAGACTTATTAGCAAAGATGAAAGAATGGAAGGGAATTATGGTATTTTATAAAGAAATGAATTTAATATTCATTCTAAAGTTATTAAGTATGTGAGGATTAGAGATTAAGGAAAAATAATAGTATGGAAACTTGGTCATCTTCTCTTCTCATTTCTTTCCCCATGAGTCTCCATGGTTAAGGTAAGTTACTTTCAAGTTGGTTGTTTCTTTAATTTTTGGATTGGTTTTGAAGCCTTGTGTGGTATAGAAGCTGAAGGAAGCTTTAAGATGAATAGAAACTAAGAGATTTTGTGAATTAAGGATGAATTAGGAAAATGAGTTTTTAATGAATTTGATGAGATTGATTATTATTTGGATTTCTAATGATATATTTGACTTGTCAAGGGTTTAATTAAGGTTTTTGAAGTGTTAGAAAAGATTAAGAACATGTTTGATTGATGAGTATGATTTTTAGCTTAAAGTATTCTATGGAGAATTTTGGGATGCTAAAATAGAATTATTGGATATAAGTTGTGTGAGATAAATATTAGTAAGTTTAGGGTTTGATTGGAGCTAAAAGCTTAAAATTTTGGTGAAGTGTGGGTAAAATTCGAAGTGAGAGAGGTAAAATCTAGGTAAGGGTATCAGTACAGTATCGATACTAAAAGAACAGTATCGATACTATAAGGTTAAATTGAAAGGAAAGGTATGAATCGGATGAACAATATCGATACTGTAATTGAAAATATAATTCCAAAATGCCAAAATGATAACGATACTGAAGTGGGTATCACTGCCATAGAAGAGAAGTATCGGTACTGTAAGAGGGGTACTGATATTATTCAGTCTGAAATTTAAAATTAGGAGTTTTTTTCGTTATTGTAAGTGCTAATTGATTATTCATTAATAGAAATTCGGTATTGATCTTGGATATATTGATGTTTAGATTTGGATTAAAAGCGTAACAAAATAGTCGACATAGTAAGAGATTGAACGAAAGAAAAAGAACTTCGTTTAGGAATTACGTGAGGCAAAGGTGAGTGCAATTTATATATTTATATTAGATTAGAGGACGGCTTGCGATAAGCCAACCTCGAACGTTTTCAATCAAAAATGATTTATTTATTTTATGCAATATTTTTTATTATGTTTTATATAAAGTGTATTTTCAAAGTATTGTTTTAATTTTATTGGTATATGAATATGTTTTCTATGAAAATGTTCTATGTGAAAATGTGCTAAGTGAAAATGTTCTACGTGAAAATACCCTATGTGAATATGCTCTACGTGGATAAAACAAACTCTAAATAATGAAATGAAAAAATTAATTATAAACCTAAAGCCCAAAGTATATGTATGAGAATTAAAGGTATAGTTGGCATGCCAAGAATTGAGGGTTCTATACAGTCATTCGGGACAAATTTCTACGTGGTCCTTCGGGACAAATTCCACGCGGTCCTTCAGGACAAATCTATGTGGCACTTCGGTGCATATTCTATGTGGAATTTCGGTACAAATTATATGAGAAGTGGTGATTCTATTAGTGCACAACCTCAATGTACTCAAATACCTTGAGTTCTTAATAATATGCGTTGGGCTAATAAAACAAATTAATATACATCGAGTAATATGTAACAATATACATGGTTTTTAGATTGTTTTCGGTATACAAGTGTTTTTAAATGTTTTGTTTGCTCATTATTTCCTCACTAATTCAACGACTTAGCGTGTGAGTGTTTTCACACGTAGGTTCAAAGAGATCGGAGTAGCAAAGCTAGTAAATGACAGCATACACCTGAAGAAGATCATATCAGAGCAAATTGGACAGTAGGTTTCTTATCATTTTGTAATTTTGTTGGCATGTATCATAGGTTTTTAAATTGTAATGCTCTGATTAGTTTTGTAAACATACTATTTTACATTTATATAAATTATCAAATATTTATTTTCATTGTGAATTATAAAATTTTCAATATTTACTTTGTTATAAGAGTTTCACCACTTAAATACAATTAAAAGTTTAAATTTTCAATGAGTTTTCAAAGAGTCAAAGTTTTGAAAAGCAGTGTGACACCTCGGATTAGTATCGGGGTCGGGTACGTGTTAGGGGTGTTACACTAACTATATGAAACAATTGATTTTCCCTGATCAAAAGATGTGTTGTGATGAATGCATCACAAAATGCTAAAACCATCATAACAATAAACAAAATCAAGCCATAAAAGCAAATGAACAACCATGCTATAAAGACAAACAAAAATAAACGCTTTATCAATATGCAAAAAGAAATAAATTAAAACGGAAAAATATGTTTATTTAGATCTAAATAAAAAATTAAGTAAAAAGAGAAAAAATAATATAAAAGATACGACGGTCCGCCGCCTAAGGCGACACTTTGAAACAAAAACCTAAAAAATCATTTTTGAAAGAAAACTAGAGCCTAATTATATATTCTTATATACATCATCTAAATCATCATAATAATAAGGTAAACTACATGAATGATCATAATAAGATAAATTACATAAATGATCATTTAATTATGAAATGTTTCGAATTTGACTATTGATCTAATAATTTTATCAAATCACTTAATTATTTAAATGATATTAACTAAACATGATATAATAACACATTTAATCTATATTATTAACATATTCTATTAAGTTGGTCGAATTTTTATTAAAAGTCATTTTCCATGTGAAATTTTTTTTAAAAATAGAGATGAATATGATTGAAATTCATGACCACTTGGTGTAAATAAGAAGGCAAAGCCACCAAGACAAGCCTAATGCTTGAAATAATATAAGATATAGGTTAAACTATAATTAATTGTTAATATAAAATATGTATTTATATATTTTTTATTTAAATAATATATATTACATATGTTGTTAATATCTTATTAATAGTCGGTCTATTTTTATTGATAGAATGAATAAGTAATAAAAATCAAATTTGTAATTATATTATTTTTGAACTTTCATGCTGATACATGGTTTCTATTAAATATTAGTGACAAATGACGTAATTGATATCATTTAGATAATTAAATTACTTAATTGTTAAAATTAATAGACCAATAATTAAATTAGAACCGTCTCATAATTAAATAGCCATTGGTATAATTCACCCTAATAACAATAATAATATCTTCCATCAAATTAAGGAAATGTATTGCATACGAACAAATTCATTTATTTTTCAATAATAATAATAAAACATTATGTTAATTTGTTCGCAAATAAGAAAAGATTCAATCTTTCACATGAATGTAAAACTTCTTAAGAAATACTACATAGTTAAAAGAACATTTTTTATAAATGAAAAAACGCTGATGAAACACTTTTCAGCTTTCTTCCTTTATTTATATAGCCCCGACCCCAACAAAGCAAAACCACTGTCTCAACTTTGATCTCTTCCAATCAAATGATGGTCTAATTGATAATGCTCTAATTACACATCTTCAAATAGTTTATCTTTATTATCTTATCAAAATTTTCAAATTATTCAATATATATTGAAAGATACAGTTGAAAACTTGAAATGTAAAATATATTTTCAAATTATCAAAAAAAATATTTTAAATATATATATATATATTGAAAGATAAAGTTGAAATGTAAAACATATTTTCGAATAATCATAAAAAATATATTTAAAATATATATTTTTTGAAAGATAAAGTTGAAATGTAAAATATATCTTCAAATCTAACCATCGGTTCATTTAAAATTTAAATATATATGAAACAGTGTATATGTTAAAATCACCTAATACACCCACAAATTTATATTTTCATTAAAATAGGGAGAATTTTACATACAAGGAAAACAATTATATTAAAAGCAATAATAAATTTACAACATATCATAACCGTAACAAATAAAAATAAGGATAAATTATGTATTTAGTCATCCAACTATTTATGCGATTTGGTTTTTGTTGCTCAACTATTTTTTTTTCTTTTAAATCATACTTAGTATTACTTTTTTGTTTCATTTGGTCACCAATCATTAAAGAATTAACGGTGATACTGATGTGTCACCATAAGGTAATGTCATATCATTATTGAAAAAAAAAAAAAAAATCATGCCAGCAGTTTATTATTTTTTAACAGCGAATAATCATAATGAAATCAAAACGTAACATTAGATATGATTTTGAAAATATATAGTTGGTGATCCAAATGAATCCACACAAATAGTTGAGTGACTAAATACATGGTTTACCCTAAAAATAATTAATCCCAAAGGATAAATTCTTAAATGAATCCATTCCTAAAAATTTGCTTTGCAAGATGGTAGAATCCCATAGCTTTCCGTTATCAGAGGGAAGAAGCCAATTTGTTTCCAAATACAAAGCAACAAAAACAGAGTTTAAAAAACAGGGGAAAGCAGAGTCCCTTTCCAGCACTATCACCTCGCAGTGTTTTATAGGGGACGAAGCAGAAGCAGAAGCAGAAGCAGAAGCAGTGATTACAATATATTTTCTAAAGCAATGAAGCTTTCTTCAATGATATCTCCCTTTCTTTTACCACTCTTCATTTTTTCTCTTTTCCAGGCTCCAAGTTTTGCTTTCACAAAGGCAAGCAAGCCCCTCTTCAATTATTACTTCTTTTCTTAAGTTTCATTTGATTCTTGGGTTTTTTTTTTTTTTGGTTTTCATGTTTCAATCTTTGTATGCTCAGAATGTACCTATCTGTTTCATTGAAACGAAATTCTCGTCTTTGTTTCTTCTTGTTTTTGCAGTCTTACATAGTGTACTTGGGAGGACACGGTCATGGTCTGAATCCTACATCGGCTGAACTTCAAGAGGTCAAGAATTCTCATTACGAATTGCTGGGTTCATTTGTGGGAAGGTATATACTTTGATGATTACATGAAAAATATTCTCATTTCTCATCCCCCTCTTTAATGTATCTGTTTGAACTTATTTTCACAGCACTGAAACAGCAAAAGAGAAAATCTTCTACTCGTACACTAAGAACATCAATGGCTTCGCTGCTTTACTTGATGAAGAAGAAGCATCACAGATATCAAGTAAATGTTTTTCAGTTTTTAGTTTTTACCCTTCGGCTATTTTTTTTTTTTTTTTGCATGATCACTCAATGTTCATCATTTATCAATGTAGAGCATCCGAATGTGGTTTCGGTTTTCCCCAACAAAGGAAGAAAGCTACACACAACACGATCATGGGATTTTCTCACATTAGAGAGAAACGGAATTATCCCTTCGGATTCTCTTTGGAAGAGGGCAAGATTTGGTGAAGATACAATAATTGGAAACCTTGACACTGGTAAAAAGTTTGAACCTTTTCTTCCATTTTTTTCCCTTACAACAATTTTGTTAATCCATTATCCCTCATTTTTTGGATGGAATTTTGGGTTCTTGATTTGTTGTTTACATGTTTAAAAACAATGCATTTCATCAAAAATAACACTTGCAAGTTGACTATGATATTTCTTTGACTTGATCATTAACAAAAGAGTTTCAAATGATCTTAGAACTAATGCATATTTATTAAGTTGGGAAAACCAGAATTTTTTGTGCTTATCTGCAGAAAATTTTGCACCATATGTTTTGGACATTATATCAATATGACAATGGTAGGGTCAACAGAAATGATTTTTGAATATAGAATACAAGCTTTTTTAGCTTCCTTTTTCTCATATAATATGTGTGCCACTGTTTGCTTGCCAATGGCTATCATTTTTGACATATTTTGGCTAAAAAGTAATGCCTTTTTTTCTTTACCTTTGATGTTATATCTGATATATATAGGTGTCTGGCCGGAATCTAAGAGCTTTAGAGACGATGACATGGGGCCTATCCCGTCTCGATGGCGAGGGTCATGTCAACGCGGCGTTCGTTGTAACAGGTCAATTTCACTTCATTGAATCAACTTGCATGATGAGAGGATATATTTATTTTTCAACTTTACTGCAAACTGCAATATATCTTCGAACAATCCATGCTTTTTGTTTGAAAAAAAAGAAGAAAAAATTGGGTTGTCCCATTGCTGAATTGGGGAAAACCATTAGTGTTTTTGCGGGGAATCTGTATGAAATAATGTCTTTCAATCAAAGTCATGTTCACATATGCAATAGCAACCTCAATTATGAGGCAAAGTTTTTGAAAGGGAAAAGGGCTCATTTTTCTAAAGTGGTGCAACTGACCCTCCTTTTTATGGTATATGCACTGATGGTGGAATTCATATGTGAACTCATACTTATTGAGTATTTTTTTATAAATATATAAATAATTGTTTTCAAATTCATTGAAATCATTGCAGTTCATTTTATTTCCTTTGTTTATTATATCTTTTCATTTGTCTTTGAATCACTTTGAATGTTCATGAACATATGATTCCTTTCGGTCATGGCTTTGTATTATAATTACAAAGTGATAAAGTATTTTAATCATTAATTGTTGTAGGGATAAAGTGAAGACCCGGAACTTTCCTTTTTAATAATATATTGATAAAAGTGGCAATTGAGGAAAAGAAATATAAAATATTTTTATATAAAAAGCAAAAGGGAAGAAAATCCATTTGAAGTTGTTTGGCTCTCTTTTATTTTCTCTTTGATTCTTTCCACTATCCCGGACCATTGATGTTGACAGTTGACCATGGAAATTATAAAGTCAAATACCTATTGTTTGTCACCTTTTTAACCTCTTATTTATGCTACACGATGGTTTCTTTCTTACTTTCTTTAGTTATAACTTATGGTTGAAAGTAAGTTTCATCAATCGATCATTTTCCATTGTTATGATCTTTAGGAAGCTTATCGGAGCCAAGTACTTCAACAAAGGGTATGCCGCTTTCCTTGGCGAAGAACTCAATGCGACCTTAAGGACTGTAAGGGACCTCGAGGGCCATGGTTCCCACACTCTTTCAACAGCTGGTGGCAACTTTGTTCATGGTGCTAGCGTTTTTGGTTATGGCAATGGCACTTCAAAGGGAGGTTCACCTAAAGCCCGTGTTGCTACTTATAAAGTTTGTTGGCCCCCCGTCGATGGTAACCAGTGTTTTGATGCTGACATCATGGCCGCTTTTGATGTTGCCATAAGTGATGGTGTGGACGTGCTTTCCTTGTCTTTGGGTGGTGAGCCGGCTGAGTTTTTTGAAGATGGTGTTTCCATCGGTGCCTTCCATGCTGCCAAGAAAGGGATTTCTGTCGTTTTATCTGCCGGAAACTCTGGACCGACTCCCGGTACCGTATCGAACTTGTCACCATGGATGTTTACTGTTGCTGCTAGCACAATTGATAGGGAGTTTACAAGTTATGCTGAGCTAGGCAATAACGTGCAACTCAAGGTACACTAATTCTATGCTGGCCAAGTACTAATTAAATCTCTGCATGGTTTGCTTTACGTTCTTATTGTATATTTGCCAGGGAGCTAGCCTTGCTACTGCAGCATTGAAATCGAGAAATTTGTATCCGCTGATCAGTGCTGAACAGGCCAAAGCGGGAAATGCGTTGGCTGCTGTTGCGTAAGCCTCATGCTTTGACTCCAGACCTGTAATTCTGCATCATTTTGATATTCTTTTGTTTTTCTTTCTTCTTTCCATGCAGTATCCTCTGTCAAGCAGGATCACTGGACCCCAAGAAGGTTAAAGGGAAGATATTAGTTTGTCTTCGTGGAGAAAATGCAAGAACAGATAAGGGAAGGCAGGCTCTTCTTGCAGGTGCAGTCGGCATGATTCTTGCAAACGATGAAAAAAGCGGAAATGAAATTATAGCGGATCCTCATTTGCTTCCGGCAACTCACTTAAATTTCACTGATGGTCTCACAGTTTATGCATACATTAATTCAACCAAGTATCTTTCTTTCTTCTACTACAAGCTACTTCAATATTTTTTTTGCTCGAGTCTTCCACAATAATCCGTTCATGTGTATGAACATATGCTAGGAACCCTACAGCATATATAACTCCAGTGAAGACAAAATTGGATACAAAGCCTGCACCATTTATGGCTTCTTTCTCTTCTAGGGGACCCAACGTAATCGAGCCAGCAATCCTTAAGGTAAAATTGCATCGATATAACTATGCGTGTGTGTCTCTCTATATTCTGGTTGGCAAATCTAATGTTTTGGACACTGTTTCAGCCAGATATAACTGCACCAGGTGTGAGCATCATTGCTGCATTCACTGGAGCACTCGGTCCAACTGAAGACGCCTTAGACAGTCGCAGATTACCTTTCACCTCAATGTCTGGAACTTCCATGTCGTGCCCACATGTTTCTGGTATTGCTGGTCTTCTCAAGAGTCTCCACCCAGATTGGAGCCCTGCGGCTATAAGGTCTGCTATCATGACCACTGCAAGAACTAGAGACAACACTGTGAATCCAATGCTGGATTCAGACAACAAGATGGCAACCCCATTCGAATACGGCGCAGGACATGCAAGACCGAACCGTGCAATGGATCCTGGTCTCGTCTATGACTTAACAGTGGACGATTACTTGAACTACTTGTGTGCTCGCGGCTACAACGAAACCTCGATACAACTGTTCTCAGGCAAGCCGTACTCTTGCTCAAAATCAAACAGAGTTACAGACTTGAACTACCCTTCCATAACAGTCCCTGAACTCGAAAGCTCAGCAACCATCAGAAGGAAAGTTAAGAATGTAGGTACACCGGGGACATATAGAGCTCACGTCAGATCACCTGCCGGAGTTTCGGTCACGGTTAAACCTTTGACATTGACGTTTGAGAAGATCGGTGAAGAGTTGAAATTTAGAGTGACATTTAAAACAAAGAGGAAAGCAGATGCAGGTGGCGAAGGGTATGCATTTGGGGTGTTGACATGGTCTGATGGGTTTCACTATGTTAGAAGTCCTTTGGTGGTGAAGCATAAGTAGAATTTCTTTTTTCTTTTTTTTTCTTTTAATATATTGGGGGTTTGATTTTATTTCTCATTCCATTCTTTAGGAAAAAGTTTAGGAAGAAATGCCAAATAAGGAAGAGGGGTTATTCCCATTTCTGTTTTAGTCTTTCAGATTTTTTTAGTGGTCAATGTGAATTATTCATTTTACATTGTGTTTTATATAGACGTGTTAATATTATGATTGTTTCATTGAGGACGTTAACCATGTTCTTATTCGGGCGAATGCTTGCTGGGAGATGCCCCCAGCAAGATGGTTTAAGTTAAACACGGATGGACGGAATCATAAGGGCCATTGATGGGATGGTAGTAGTTAGGATGTAACACCGTGAACTCGAGGCTCAGAATTTAAGATCTCGCATTGTGTTATTGAGACAATCGTCAATTTTTAAATATTTTTTAATAGAATTAAGTTTAATACAATCAGTTCTTTTTAAAACATCCTCACCAAATAGTATTAAACAATACAGTTTGAAGAGTTATACAAAAACTGGATCTCCGAATAAGACATAATTTAAATCAAAATTAAAATAATATGAGTAAGTCCTATGAATACATAAATTCATGAACCATATGAGAGCATTCCATTTTTTTTTTTTTTACTAACGTTGATATTCGGACATAGATGGACGAGGACTAGTAGTCTTTTGATTTCATCTAAGATTTTAGTATTTAGAGATTTGAATTCTCAAAATAATCGTTATATTATCTTCGATAAATCTATGAACTCTGATCCGAATTCGAACATTTATGATGAATCTCATCTATTAATGCCATAGATTTTAACAGATTGACTTTAAATTCTCATATCTAATCTAAGTCCTCTACGAGGATTACCTCTCTCCAGGTAAGCTCGCCACAATTCATGACTCTGTGGACCCAAAGTCCACTAATACAACAATAAGAATTAAAACTGATGTGAATGTAGTTGAAATTATATTTGTCTATGACCCCCAAGACGTGTTTTCTAGCTGCGACTCGGGCGCTAAACCTAGCTTTAGACCCCATTATACTTCCGTTTACATGATCTTATATGCCCCAACACCTCCATGATCTGATGCACTATCACAGTAATCTAAAAGTGTAGATCTTTTGAGTATGGGATAGAAGAAGCATTAACATCCCTTAAACAATCCTTGATGGTCAGAAAATCCACACCTCACACTTGATCTACTCCACTATAATTCCAGGGTGATTACATTTGCAAACTAGAAATTGATTCACTCCATTGCAACTTCAGAGAGGTTGGGTTTGAGAATTGAAATTAAACCTATTTCGTTGTAACTTGAAGAAGGTTAAACCTAAAAACTAGGAATCGACCTATTTCAATGTAACTTCAGGAAGATAGGATCAGAGAAAAAAAATTTGATCTGTTCCACCGTAACTTCAGAGAAATAAGATCTAGAAACTAGAAATTAATCTGCTCCATTTCAACTTCAGGGAGATAGAATCTAGTATGCTCTATTACAAATTCAAGGAGATAGAATTTTGTGCTTTGAGATTTGATTGATCCCCCTTGTCGTTCTTGGAGAAGTAGAATTTGTAAATTTAATGATCATTTTTCAATGCAATTTGAAAGAAATAAGATCTCATTATTTTATATACGTTACTATAACTTCATAGAGATGGAACAACTTTGGAGAGGCACAACCTGCAAAAGTTATCATATTCTTTCTAACAAGAATATCTAACAAATGCAGGTCATTGTCATACCTGAGGGTTTTAATTATCGTGCGTGAAGAATTAGTGATGATTCAAAGGGCTTAATATCATGCTCAAAAAATTTATTGATGGCTAAAAAGTCTTAGCATCATACTTGAAGGTCTTTTAGATGGTCCTATAATACTCGATTTTCGTCAGGCCTAGTTTTTTTTCAAGGTCCAAATATTTTATTGAAGCTGATTATGAAGCTTGGGACATTAATCAACTTGTAACAAATTTTCAATTAAGATTCGTGCATGTCCAAGGCATGATGTCTTCTTGAAATATGTCCAGCTTTCAGTTAGCTTTCCAACACATTTTGAAATACCTTAATCGGACATATAGAATTCAAGATCTGCTTATTTTAGTGAAGACATCACGTGCACAAAATGAGATAATGGTCAAATACATGAACTTTAATTTATTACGAATTTTCAATAATTTTATTAAATATTTGTAATTAAATTCACCTTTTCAGTTTCCATAATGTATTTAGGGTAATTTATGATCTTTTGATTATTTTAATATTTTTTTTACTTTTAATTAGTGTATCTAGTAGAAATGAAAATATGCTAGAGTTTTCTCGAGCTATTCATCTTATGTAAAGAGATACACATTGTTTTTGAGAGAATTTTTGGGAGGCATATTTTTTAGAGAAAAGAGAAAAAGAAGAAAAGATTTGTAAGTTGAAGAAAATACAAGCAATAAAAAGAGATTTTTTGCTCAAATGCAAGTTAATTTATTTTCTTTGTTTATTCTTTTTTTTATTTTTTATTTTCTTTTTGAAAATTCCATCCAGTGAAAATAAACGATGAACGAGGAAAAGACATTCGAATAGATTTTATCAAGTAGCCTTCCTTGAGGTTTCTCGGTAGATACTGACAAATTCTTTTTTATTATTATTTTTCCTTTTTCCTTTTTTTTTCTTATTATTTTAATCAACCTCAATTTTTTTATCATGTCAAAAGAGAGAAAGTCGATGAACAAGGAAAAAGGGCTTTCCATTAAATCTACATAGATTTAGCATTCTTTGAGATTTCTCCATGAAAACCGACAATGAATCTTGAGTAAAATAATATTTATTTTTATTTATATTTTGTAGGGAAAATGAATTGGTACTTTGAGATTTTTGGATTTGTACTCAATTAAATAACTCGATGACTCGATTCAGATCTTTATGAGATCCACATATTTTTACACTAGTAGAAGATAATTATTTTAATCATATTCCATTTTATTTAAAACTTTATTTAGATCTTTTTTCTTTTTAAATTAAATTTTAAATTTCACTTTTATTTATCTTAACTTTTTTCTTTAAAGTTTTCACGTTTGTTTTTTTTATAAAAAATAATTTCTTTTAAATTTAATTTTCTTAGATTGGGACGCCTTCTTCTTTATCATTTTTCTAGGTTGCCTTTTTTTTTTTGCCTCAATTTTGTTTTTTTTAATTTCTTTCCTAATTTATTTTTTCATTTTATTATGATTGATTTATTGATTAAAACATTAATTTAATTTAGTTTCTTTCTTTTAACTCAACATCTTAAATTTTCCATTTTTATTATAAGTTATTTTTATTTTATTTTTTAATATAGTATGTATTATTTTTTTCATATTAGTTTTATGTGATTTTAAATTTTATACATTCATGTTTTTTTTTTAATTTCGATGTTAACTTAATTTCCTTTTTGTGTGTATATTTTATATTGTCTTCTTTTATTGTGATACATGTAACTCTATTTTCTTATTTTGCAGATTATACATTTTTTTTGCTTTTTTTATCATAACCCTAATTCATTTTGTTTTACCGTAAGAGATTCTTATAGATAATTAATTTTAATCTTCTCTTTAATTTGGCCTCAACTTTATTTTTAATACAATTTATTCACTCTTTACTTTAAATAGATCATGCTTTTTTTTATACGTGCATTTTTTAGTTATTTGCATTATAATCTTAACATGTTAATTAAATTGATTCTTTGACGTGATTCTTTAAATTTGCAAATAATTGAAGTTTATTGATTGATTGCATGGCATCTTATTTAATTGCAAAGCATGATGTTTCATCCGCATCACTTAATCTTTTCAATGATGAATTACAAAGTAATAATTTTTTTTATTTTAAATCGTCAAAAAGAGTTATCCTAATCCAACTAATTAGTTTAAATTGGTAATTTAAAATGAATAAGTATCCTCTAGTGGAACAATTTAAAATTAATCAGGAGGGTAGAAAGATAAATGTTATTGTATTTAGATCTACTGAGGATAACCCACTCGACTCTATTTGATAGTTTAGACTCGGTATTTATAAATATTTGAACATCCCCTATCTATCTTAAAGGCTGAGTAATTTTTTAAATAAAACTTTTGTTTGTTGCATAACCTTAGATAAAGAAATACAACGATTATAGTATTTCTTATTTCTTTCCAAATAAGGGAAAATTGCTACTCTACCTTATATTAAGTGGTGTTTTCCTTTAATTTGAAATGGTGACATGTTAATAATTTAACTTTAAAACTTTTGAGAAGAAAATTAGTGATTCATCGCTTTAGTTGGAAATGAGAGGGATGTCTCTCTACCTTATATTAGGTTATTAACTCTCTCCAGTTAAAGGCAAGAATGATTAATTGTATCTCTTAAATTTTAACTGGTTAAATAGCGTTGTATTTATTTAACTAGGAAAATTAATTAAATTAAGTTTGAATCCATAAATTTCATTGCAAAGACAATAATTAATCGACCAAGTACCAATTTTCGAGCGTTGTGGGGGTGCTAATCATTCCCCACAAATAATCGACTACCGAACTCATTTCTTGGGAAAGTAGACCAAAACACTATTTTAATATTTTTTAAAATTAATAAATTTTATTAAAATGGAAACATTTTTTGGGGTGATCCAATCACACCTTAAACAAAGATTAACGGCGACTCCCTCAAACCACATTTTTATTTTAAAACCCAATTTTAGTCGAAACGAACCCCTAAAATCATTTTCTTGATTTTTCGAGACATTACGACAGGCCCGAAAACTTATCGTATTGTTCAGAAGACTGACATATGACTCAAAAGACTTAGACATATGATCGAAAGACTTATAGATGACCCAAAAAATTTAGCATCATACTCTAAGGACTTAGTGATGTCCCAGAGGATTAGGACTTAGTGATGCTAAGAGGATTTAACATACTTCATGATGACTTGAAGGATTTTGTATCATACTCGGACATAGAAATGACCTGAATAATTTAATAAGCGGGAAACCTTTGAAAGCTATTTTTTTTATTTTTTATGTTCAAAATTCAATTTTTTATTTTTTATCAATTACATGATAATTCATGATGCAGTAATAACAATAAATATAATTTTTTAATTTCAAAAAGTATAAATATTAATTTTTTATAAATTAATTTAGAGATATTAAATATATATAAAATTAGCATAATAAAAGAGTGAAATGCACAATTTGATATAAAATTTAGAGTAAACTACATAAATAATTACTTTTATTTGATTTTTATAAATTTTTACTAAAATACATAATATTTGATTACTTTTCTTTTGTTTTAATAAGATTTAATCACTTCGGCCTAATTTGCAGTCATATTGGGCTTGATTTGCAAGGCTATGGACTTCAGTTTACAAACGAAAAGAGACTTAAGCCCAACATTCAAAGCAGAATTTTGTTAGCACCCAAAGGGTTTTAGGTTTTTAAGCTCTCGGTACTTGCTTACTCTTCTTCCTGCTTGGCTGCCTGCCGCTACTTATCGCCATATTCTCTGCTTCCAGGATACAGCTAGCGTCGATTAGGCTTGTCTCTCTCTCTCTCTCTATCTCTCTCTTGAAGGACGAATTTTCCGAATTAGCCTTTCAAATCCAGTCCAGGTTAACTCAACCTTTGATTTCTTCTATTATTTTTCGTTTTTAATTCCAACGATTGGGATTCATTATATGTGTGATGATTCCAGAAAGATTGCTTGTTCTTCTTCTTCTTCTTTTAATTTGAGTCTATGCATGATTTGTTCATTTGGGTATTGAAATTTTTATTTTTATGAATTATGTTGTTTGGAGATGCAGAATTTAATCAAAGTAACATAATTTATGCCATTAGCTTTGTTCTTTTGAATTTCTGGTACTGTTTTCTTTACTGAAACAATTTCTTAAAGGCATGGTTGAAAGATCCGAACTGAATTAAAACTATAAATCAATAATAATTATGAAAATTTATTAAAAAGCTAAAAAATTGAGAAATTGTTTTTACAAGAAAAGCAAGGGTGAAAAGAGTGCCTTATAATTGATTATAATGTTTTTTCATGAATGTTTTACTTTGAACTTCAATCATAATTTGAGCTTTTTTTGTAATTTCTTCTTGTTCAGACTGCAACTACCTTGTGTTGTAATAGCATATAGATGTCTATTAAAGCACCTGCCACTATGGAGGTTGAAACAATGCCTTGTGAACCTAAGCCTGAATTAAATCCGTTGCCCCCAAAGCCAGTATTCAAGCCTCTTAAGGCTCACGAGATGTCGGACGGTCGAGTCCAGTTCAGAAAGGTCTCGGTTCCACCTCACAGGTATTCACCTCTCAAGAAATACTGGATGGACATCTATACTCCAATCTACGAACAGATGAAGGTCGACATCCGAATGAATCTCAAAGCTCGGAAGGTTGAACTGAAAACAAGACCAGACACCCCCGACATTAGTAACCTTCAAAAATGTACAGACTTTGTCCAGGCTTTCATGATGGGTTTTGATGTCCCGGATGCCATTGCTCTTTTGAGATTGGATGAACTGTACGTGGAATCTTTTGAAATCAAGGATGTCAAGACTCTTAGAGGGGAGCACTTGTCTCGTGCCATCGGAAGATTGTCTGGGAAAGGCGGTAAAACTAAGTTTGCCATCGAGAACGCCACGAAGACTAGGATTGTCATTGCCGACACCAAGATTCATATACTGGGGTCTTTCGCCAACATCAAGATTGCTAGGGATTCTCTTTGCAACCTCATTTTAGGTTCACCCGCTGGGAAAGTCTACTCGAAACTTAGACAAGTTACTGCTAGATTGGCAGAAAGGTTTTGATCTTTTGTTATTCGTAATATTTTTTTGAGATTTTTTTTTCTCTGAGTAATGGATTATTAAGGGTTATCTGCAAAAAAAACCCATGAAAAAGGGGGGGGGGGGAGGAGAATGAACATGATCGAGTATTCTTTAGAAAGTAGTAATTTTAGATGAAAGTTTTGATTGGGAGGCATTGAGTGAATTTTCTGTAAGCCGCCTTTTTAATGTTCTTTTTTAATATTATTATAATGAAACTTATCCTATGATAATGGTGTTTTTGTAGTATGGTTGAAATTGATTTTGAAGTTTTTTTTACTCGACTCGATTGCCAAGCTGGAAACTTAAGTATGAACATAAGGAAACACTTGAATTTTCGGTAAACTGCTTTTTATTTTTTTTTAATTTTATTACAATGAAACTTATCCTATGGTAATGGTTTGTTTGTAGTATGGTTGCAATTAATTTTGAAGTTTTTTATTCGATTTGATTGAATACTTACCCTGAGCAACACTTCTTAAGCTGGAAGCATAAGGACAAACTTAATCATTACATGAGTTTCAAAACAGTTTGGTATAGATAAAGAAGAAATATTGCAAATCTAAGTTCGAAATTAAAAAAAAATCACATCTACTCAAAATAAACAACAAACATTCGTTCTATTTGTTCAGACTAAAAATTATATAGTGAAGTTAGTTCATTGTTAAACCCATGTATGTACAACATGTTTAAACTAAAACATTTAATGAACTTGATGGAAAAAAAATTGATAGTTTTGGAGTTTTAAATGAGAAATTGATCCAAACGTTGTTGAGGAAAATGTGAAATCAATTGTTGGTTCGTACAAGTGTAGACGTGCACGATGTGAGTAACGTAAATGTCCGAACCGGTGACACTCTTTATGGGGCTTACATATATTTTAACCCAAAAGTAAAATAAAATTTTCTCAAATATAGTATATTTTTGCAAAATTTGTTTTGGAATTAAAATGATAAATATTAAAAGGTTCCTTTAATCAAAACAATAATTTTTGAAATTGCTTAATTCTCATTAATGCTTCGTTAAGTCAAAAATTTCCAATTGTTCATAATGTGAAATCCTTATAAATACCGAGTAAACCTACTAGGTTAAAAACAATTCAAACAATTCAAAAAGTTTTTCGCTCCTCTAGTTTTTTCGGTGATAGACGAAGGCAATGAATAGCTTGTGATCTATGCAGTTGTGCTACTGTGCACTGATCATCTCGTTGTTATATCATGGGAGACAAACGACCAAAGATTTCAAGCACCAAGGAGTAACCGAAAATCCGTCTTAAGGAAACTACGTAGTTGCAAGTCTTAACCCTTTTCCAATCGGTTGTTCCGTAAAAGTTGTGCATTTATTTCTATATTGTTCTTTCGATTATTTAATAGAATAATTTTTTCATGTTATTAATTTTTTTTATTTTCTATTCATGTAAACGAAGTTTACGATGAGATCCTGTTGTGGAATTAAACAGTATTTGTTGCAATTTGTGTGAACCAATTATTTAAATAAGATTTTTTTTATCGTCTAGGATTGTAATACTTCTAACAATCTTAAGACAAATTATATCTTCTATCTTTCTATAAAAAAATCAAGATGATTTAAAAATATTGACAAAATCATGAAAAGCAAATAAATTTGTTTTCGGTATTTATCTTGCCGTTTTAACATGTTTGCTTATTTTAAAGTGGACAAATCTATTTAATAAAAATTATCGTTAAAGTAACGTTGATTATTGATTTTGTTTCAAAATATTAATTCTATCATGTCGCAACCATCTTTCGGTTGGGCCCCGGAATTGGGCTTCGACTTAGGTAAATGGATTGGAATCGCCACCGATCGTTTATTTTAAACAAAATAGGTTGATCGGATACCTTATTTCTTACCTGATCTACGCCTTACCAAAGATGTGTCGGATTCGGGAGTCGGTTACAGTCAAGGAAGGGCTAGCACCCTTGAACTGCCCTTTCGGTACTGTGTAATTTCCAGTTGTCTTTAATTAAGAAAATTGAAAGTTAAATTAAAAGGTAAATATCGATCCAAATTGCTTACCACTGATTGATTGAAGTTCCCTTAAAAATAAAGACGTTAAAGAACGAGAAAAAAAAATAAAGGAAACAAGAATGAAGATAAAAATAGAAAAAAAGGTTAATAAGCAAAGTAAAATAAATAAATAAATGAAATATTAATAATCTATACACAACCAAATAATGAATAAATACAATGAATAAAAAAATGATCAAAGAAGTAAAACAAAGTAAAAAGAAGGTAATCAAAAGATGATTGAAATGTACACATGATAATAACAATAGACATATAAATAAACTATTAAAAAATATACATATATACATATATATATACATATAGCATTAGGAAAAAAATAATCAAATAAAGAGAAAAAAATAATAATAATATATGTATATAATAAAATAAATGTAAATATATATAAATATATGTATAAATGAGTAAAAAGAAGATAATAATAATAGTAATAGTTATATTTACAAAAAAAATATACATATATAACAAAACGTAATAATATAAAAGTAAAATATGAGATACGTATATATATAAAGTAATAATATTAAAAATAATAACGATTATAGTAAATAAATAAAAAGCAAAGTAACAGGACTAAATTGGAAGAAAACCATGATTGAAGGTCGAATTCGAAACAAAATTGGATAAGAAATCGGATTTGGGGATTATGATAACATACGATTGGAAAAAGAGGGACTGAAATGGTGATTTACCCTATCGTGAAGCAAAACACGCGGGTCTGGCGTGTATTTGGGTCGGGTTAACGGGCCGTATAAAGGCCAATTTTCTGAAAACATTTCCTTATTTTCCCATTTGATCCCACATGGATCAAAACAAACTTTCAAAACTCTCTGTATGCTCTTCATGTGTTCTTCAAATGTGAAGAACACGGCCGGGGTTCATCAAGAACCCAGAAAACGGCCACCACCCGCCGCCTCGTCGGCCGCCGTTGACCGGCGCCGACCGCCGTCATCGGCGACGAAAAGTTTATTTTTTTGTTATTTTCTAAATACGAAAGCTTTTTTATCATTTTTTCAAAAATCACCATAAATCTTTCAAAAAATCGGCCTCGGGGAGTAGATCTAGAAATAAAGTTTTGAAAAACTTTACCCCAAAGCCATCGGCCGTATGTTTTTTGGTCATTTTCAAGCCAAACCACAAGCACAAAACGACATACAAAGGAAGAGATGAACGAACAAAGGTAAAAAGAAATGCTACATTTTTATTTCTATGCGAATCGTTTACAAATGCTCTGAGTTTGCTTCGGTTTTCTGTGGTGTTTTCGTGACCTCTCTCTCGTAATATTTCGTGTGTAGTTGTGTGATAATTTCTGGTATTTCTTCTATGAATCGTCTGTGTACCCCCTAAAGCTCTAATTTCTCGGTTGTTTGATGCTCCATGATTCTGATTTGTTATTTGGTGGTTTGTTATCTCCATGAAATCCACCCGCCGAGAAACCCGGAGCATGTTGCCACCGGGACGAGGATTCTCCGAGAACCGTGTGAGGTTCTGACTTGTCAAGGGTATGCGACGCTCCAGGGGGAAAACAGAACCCTATCTGGCTCATATTATTGACCATTGGATCATATCTGGATCCAAAGGTCGAGGCTCCTGACGGCTGGGCAGCAGAGATTTAGGGTTATGAAAACCCTAACTAGTTTGGACGAGCTCGCATGCTGGGCCATTGTTGGGGCACTTGTAATTTGGGCCTGACATGAAAACAAATGAAAATAATATATATATATATATACATGTAATATATATGTAACATATATATATATAAATATATGTTTATAAAAAAAGAGTCTGTCTACAGCTGCCCCTCTTTGCCCATAGTCGTATAACGGGGATAGGGCAAAGATTGAAAGACACACTTAACATGCGCGTATCCAAAATTAACACCCATTATGTAGGGGTCAATTCCCATCGAATATTCTCTGTTGTAGAGTTGAAATCCGACATCACGGCTGATCTGGTTTGTCAATTTAGACTGAAATATGAAATGACTTCCTTATCGTGAGGTCGAGTTGAACTGAAAGATCCTGAGTATGAATCCTTCATCGTGAAGTTGAGCCTGAGAATTGGATATCCTTCGTCGTGAAGTTGAAATCCAAGTATTTTTCTGAGTCCAATATCCTCGGCTGTGAAGTTGAAACTGGTTCTAGAACTGGGAAATTCTTTACTGACAACCAGCGGTCCCTTCGTCGTGAAGTTGAACTTGCGTTGTCTGGAGTCCAATATCCTTCGTTGCGAAGTTGAAATTGGCTCTGAAATTGAGAAATGTTTGTTGACAACCAGCGGTCCCTTCGTCTTGAAGTTGAACTTGCGTTGTCCGGAGTCCAATATCCTTCGTTTTGAAGTTGAAATTGGCTCTGAAATTGAGAAATGTTTGTTGACAACCAGCGGTCCCTTCGTCGTGAAGTTGAACTTGCGTTGTCTGGAGTCCAATATCCTTCGTTGTGAAGTTAAAATTGGCTCTGAAATTGAGAAATGTTTGTTGACAACCAGCGGTCCCTTCGTCGTGAAGTTGAACTTGCGTTGTCTGGAGTCCAATATCCTTCGTTGTGAAGTTGAAACTGGCTCTGAAATTGAGAAATGTTTGTTGACAACCAGCGGTCCCTTCATCGTGAAGTTGAACTTGCGTTGTCTGGAGTCCAATATCCTTCGTTGTGAAGTTGAAACTGGCTCTGAAATTGAGAAATGTTTGTTGACAACCAGCGGTCCCTTCGTCATGAAGTTGAACTTGCGTTGTCTGGAGTCCAATATCCTTCGTTGTGAAGTTGAAATTGGCTCTGGAATTGAGAAATGGTTGTTGACAACTAGCGGTCCCTTCTCCGTGAAGTTGAACTTGCGCTGTCTGGAGTCCAATATCCTTCGTTGTGAAGTTGAAATTGGCTCTGAAATTGAGAAATGGTTGTTGACCAGCGGTCCCTTCGTCGTGAAGTTGAACTTACGTTGTCTGGAGTCCAATATCCTTCGTTGTGAAGTTGAAATTGGCTCTGGGTAAAACCTACAAAGATATGCATATATGCGATGTTATGGATGTCATGCTCTTAAGTATGCCTAAAATGTATATGCAACATATGTTATTCTGGGCTCTGGAGAGAAATCTCGATCTCGGGTGGCCTGTCGTTGTTGACTCTTAATTTTAAAGACTTGAAGTTCCGATCTCTGATCTTGAATTCTTCAAATGTTTAAATCTGAT